TCGACAATCTAAGCGAAATGGACAAATTTCTAGACACACACAGTCTCCCAAAACGGGACCAGGAAGAGATAGAAAACTTGAGTAGACCAATAACAACTAAGGAAATTGAAGATGTAATCATGACTCTCCCAGCAAACAAAAGCCCAGGCCCATATGGCTTCACAGGGGAGTTTTACTGAACATTCAAAAAAGAAATAACACCCATTCTCCTCAAACTATTTCAAAAAATTCAAGAAGAAGGAAGACTTCTTCTTGAGGCCAGCATAATTCTAATTCCAAAACCAGAAAAAAACACTACAAACAAAGAAAACTACAGGCCAATATCCCTGATGAACATAGACGCCAAAATCCTGAACAAAACACTAGCAAATCGGATCCAGCAATACATCAAAAAAATTATTCGCCATGACCAAGTGGGATTCATTCCAGGGATGCAAGGCTGGTACAATATTCCCAAATCAATAAATGTGATAAACCACATAAACAAAATGAAGAATAAAAACCACATGATAATTTCAATAGATGCTGAAAAAGCATTCAACAAAATCCAGCATCCATTTCTGATAAAAACACTCAGCAATGTGGAAATAGAGGGATCATATCTCTACATAATAAAGGCCATATATGAAAGACCTACAGCCAACATCATACTCACTGGGCAGAAACTAAAAACATTTCCATTAAGAACAGGAATAAGACAGGGATGTCCACTTTTGCCTCTCTTATTTAACACTGTACTGGAAGTCTTAGCCACAGCAATCAGACATGAGGAAAAAATAAAAGGGATCCAAATTGGAAAGGAGGAAGTGTAACTGTCATTATTTGCAGATGGCATGATATTATACATAAAAAACCCTAAAGACTCCATCAAAAATCTACTAGATTTAATGAATGAATTTGGCAAAGTAGCAGGATACAAAATTAACGTCAAGAAATCGACGGCATTCTTGAACACCAATGATGAACTCACAGAAAGAGAAACTGAAAAAACAATCCCATTTACCATTGCGCCAAAAAAATTAAGATACCTAGGAATAAATTTAACCAAAGAAGTAAAGGACCTATTTGCAGAAAACTACAGGTCATTGGAAAGAGAAATAGAGGAAGACATAAAAAAGTGGAAGCACATACCCTGTTCATGGATTGGAAGAATTAACATCATTAAAATGTCCGTACTACCCAATGCAATCTATAGATTCAATGCAATCCCCATCAAAATACCAATGACATATTTCACAGAACTAGAACAAATGCTTCAAAAGTTCATATGGAACCAAAGAAGTCCTCGAATAGCCACAGCAATCTTTAAAAAGTAGGACAAAGTAGGTGGGATCACAATACCAGATATCAGATTATACTAAAAAGTGACTGTAATCAAAACAGTCGGCTACTGGCACAAGAACAGGCATATAGACCAGTGGAACAGAACTGAAAACCCAGAAATGGACCCAAGACAATATGCTCAATTAATATTTGACAAAGGTGGCAAGAGCATACAGTGGAGTAAAGACAGCCTCTTTAATAAATGGTGTTGGGAAAATTGGACAGCTACATGCAAAAAAATGAAACTAGACCATCAACTTACACCATACACAAAAATAAGCTCGAAATGGATAAAAGACTTAAATGTGATCCGTGAATCCATAAAAATCCTAGAAGAAAATGTAGGCAACAAAATTTCGGACATCATACGCAGCAGAATTTTCACTGATACATCACAGAAACAAAGGAAAAAATGAACACATAGGACTACATCAAACTAAAAAGTTTCTGCACAGCAAAAGAACAATCATCAAAATGGAAAGGCAACTCACTGTATGGGAGAACATCATTGCCAATGATGTATCAGATAAGGGGTTAATTTCCAATATATATAGAGTGCTCATACAACTCCACAAAAGGAAGACAAAGAACCCAATTAAAAAATGGTCAGAGAAGATGAATAGACACCTCTCCAAACACGGCATACAAATGACTAAGAGACATATGAAGAAATGCTCAGCATCACTAATCATCAGAGAGATGCAAATTAAAACAACAATGAGGTATCACCTCACACCTGTCAGAATGGCCGCCATCAACAAATCATCAAACAACAAGTGTTGGCGAGGGTGTGGAGAAAAGGAGACTCTATTACACTGTTGGTGGGAATGCAGACTGGTGCAGCCACTATGGAAAACAATATGATGTTGCCTCAAAAAATTAAAAATTGAACTTCCATTTGACCCAGTGATCCCACTTCTAGGAATATACCCTAAGAAGCCTGAAACACCAATCAGAAAGAATATATGTATCCTCATGTTCATAGCAGCAGTATTTAAAATAGCTAAGATCTGAAAACAGCTCAAGTGTCCATCAGTAGACGAATGGATAAAAAAGCAGTGGTACATATACACAATGGAGTACTATGCAGCGGTAAGAAAGGAAGATCTCTTATCCTTTGAGACGACATGGAGGGACCTGGAAAGTATTATCCTAAGTGAAATAAGCCAAGCAGAAAAAGACAAATACCACATGATCTCACTTATATACGGGATATAATGAACATAACAGTCTGAGGAATACGGTGGACCCAGAAACATGGAAGTAGGGCACAGACTGACATCCCTCAGAAGAGGGGTTGGAGGGGGGTGGGAAGAGATAAACCACAGAACTTATATGCATGTATGCATGACCAATGGACATGGACAACTAAGCTGGGGATGGGGCGGGGGTGGGGTGGGGGTGGGGTGGGCAGGGGGTGCCAATGGGGTAAAAAAGTAGAAATATCTATAACAAAAAATAAATAAATAATTTAAAAAGAAAATAATAGGAGGTAATTAATAAAAACAAAGATGAGATTATTGAAATGTAAAAAAGTTATAGCACACAGCCGGATAGGCTGCTTCTTGCCTATACAAAATCAATACTTCTAAATGAATCAAATTTTACTGAGTAGCTTTCCATGGAACTTAGAACCCTGCATTTGTCCTGAATTTTTGTGTATATTTTTTTAAATGATAAAATATTGGAGTCACAATTTCAATATTTATGGAAATACTGCTAAGCCACAGCAAGTAAATATGTTTTTGTAAAATGGGATTGAAAAATTAGATGTCCTTGTGCATTGTTTATGGGAAGGCTCTTATTTCTCATTAATATTTTGTAATTGGTAAATGTTTTGATTATAGTGTGGTCTTTACAATTTACTTTAAAATAGTATGTAAATACTAAAATAATCTTCACTTATATAAAAAAACTGCACATTCAGTAAAAAAAATATATGGGGGGATTCTTCTAAAGAGCAGAGTATTGGAAAGAAAACCAAAAAAGGTAACTTGAAAGTGGAGAAACCTGTCTAACACCACAAGCTAGGTGATCAAGGTTAACATTAAGAGGGATGTCATATTCATAATATGTGCCCTTGATATGATATGATGTGTATACCACTTTAGTTCTGTGATATTCCTTCTCAAAACACATTAGCCCACTCTAATCATGAGAAAAAAAAATCAGACCAATCCCAATCGAGAGACATTCTATAAAATACCTTATCAGTATCCTCAAAAAGATTATCGAAATTCAAGGCAAACTTGAGAAACTATCACAACCAAGAGAAACCTAAGGACACATGACTACTGAGTATAATGTGGTATCCTGGAACAGATAAAAGACATTAGGTGAAAGTGAAGAAAATCTGAATGAAGCATGAGCTTTAGTTAGTGATAATGTATTAGTATATATTCACTAATTGTGGCAAATGTACCATACTAATGTAAGATGATAACAATAGAGGAACCTGGGTGTGGGATAAAGGGGAACTCTATTATTTTTGCAATTAATAATTTAAATGTAAGACTTCTCTAAAATAAAATAGTTTATTATAAAATATAAGGGAAGAAAGATCTCATTCTGAGTAGAGATAAACTATAAAATTTTTGGATATTAACAAAAATATGCAGGATCTATATGAACAATTTTTCTAAATAAATTGATAAAAGAAGACTTGAATAATGGAGAACATGCCATACACCTGTATCAGAGGGCCAAATATTATAAAATTGTCCTTTCAGCCCACATTTATTTATAGTTTCAAAGTCATTCAAAATATACCAATGACATTTTTCCTTGAACTAGACAAATGTTTTTTTCTGTTGAAATAAATGAACAAAGATACTCAAACTACATTTTAAAAATAAAAGAAATTTGATGATATATTCAACCAAATACTAAAACATATAACAAAGCTATACTATTAGAATAGTATAGCCCTGGTGAAATAATACATTGTCTTTTCTCCTCCTCCTCCTCCTCCTCTTCCTCCTCCTCCTCCTCCTCCTCCTCCTCCTCCTCCTCCTCCTCTCCCTCCTCCTTCTTCTTCTTCTTTTGTACATGCCCCTAGCAGGAACTGAACCCGGGACTCTCTGGTCCACAGGCTGACACTCCAGCTGCTGAGCCAAACCAGCCAGGGCTCTTGTCTTCTTTTAATACGTATTATTTATCACTTTGGTAGGCACTAAGAATATAGTGTTCAGGAAATTATACACTTTCCCTGCTGTCATGGAGATTACAATTTATTGGAGAAAGTAGCTATTGTTTACAATAATTACAATACAAATATACTGAGTAAATTAGGAAAGACTTATAGGAGAAAACCGCATTTCAGTTAAGACCTCAAGGATTTTAGCAACCTAGGTATAGAGGGGGAACAAATTAAAAGACCATGAAGAGTCCATGTGAAGGCCATCTGTGGAAAGATGTTCAACAGACTAGAAATAGAAACCAAAGAAAAGAATATTGAGATACCCCTGGCTGGTTTGGCACAGCGGTTGGAGCATTGGTCTGCGGACCAGAGAGTCCTGGGTTCAGTTCCTGCTAGGGGCACATACATACCCCTCCAAAAAAAGAATATTGAGATAGGTAGCTAGACAATTAATGATGTGTCATTTTGCATATGCTTTTGATAAGGGTTTTGGTTTTTACACTAAGGACAGTGAAAAGTCATTGGGGATTTTTTTGGTCAGGGGAGAGCATGAACGCAGTCCCTCACTACCACAAATCATGTAGTCGACTTCCCACATTTGGGGAAATTGAAGGGATAAGCACATCCAGAGTGCAATGGATAAGCCTTGCCCTGGAAAACCACCTTCATGATCATGGTATCTCCCCTGCTAAGTAAGTATCATCAGGGATTTTTTTTTATTATTATTAAAAATAATTTTTCTTTATTGATTTTAGAAAGAGAGAAAAGGAGAAAGAGAGAGAGAGAGAGAGAAACATCAATGAGAGAGAAAGAACATCAATTGGTTGCCTCCGGCATGCCCCCCACTGAGGATCAGGCCCACAACCTGGGCATGTGCTTTGACGGAATTGAACCAGCAACCTCTTGGTGCATGGGTCAAAGCTCAATCAGTGAGCCACACTGGCCAGGCCTCATCATGGATTTTTATACTGGGTAAAGATGCAGTCAGATTAACATAATGTAAAAAGATCACTTTGATTTCCCTGATAGAAATAAATTATAATGGAGCCAGAAGGTGTGCTGGGAGATAGGAAACTATTGCAATAGATGAGATTTTGAAGATTTAAATATAAAGGTAAGACTAGAAAGATGGTGGAGATTTGATTGAGGTTAAAGAGAAATGGACAAACAAGAGAGGTACTTCAGAAAATATTGGCTTGCTTATTAGTAGGAGAAAGACTCTCTAAACATAGTAACAATAAAAAAAAACAAATAATTTATTTGCATTAAAATTTATTTTTACTTTTGTGAATACAAAACTTCAGGCATATGATAAATAGTTAAGAGAAAGGAGTTAATATTTATAACAACATTAGAAAAAGATAAATAGTCTAATGTAAATCAGCAAAGAACATTAACAGGCATTTTGTTATGAGTAGCTGAGAAACATAAAAATATAAAAAAACTCAGCAATGATCATTGCTGCCATCAATAATAAAATTAATTTATGTTTAAAAATAATATAGTGCTAATTTTAATTGTCTGTAATAGGCAAATTAAAAACAGTAATAATACTCAGTGTTGGCGAGGTAAAGCAGTCATCTCATAATTGAGATGTGAGTTCTGATGAAAGGTGAACTCTTTTTATAGAAGACATACGGGCCATATATATGTGCAGAGTTTTTTTTTAAACATTTATACCTCTTTTAAAAATAATTAATTGATTATTTTTGTTAGGGATGTTTCTCCTTTTCCCCCCACTGATTCCCCCCTCCCCCCTTCCCACCCTGACCCCAGCTTTGTTGTCCATGTCCATTGTTCATGCATACATGCATATAAGTTCTGTGGTTTATCTCTCCCCCACCACCCCCTCTTTTAGGGATTGTCAGTTTGTACCCCACTTCCATGTCTCTGGGACTACCCCATTCCTCAGACTGTTATGTTCATTATATTCCACAAATAAGTGAGATCATATGATACTTCTGCTTTTCCGTTTGGCTTGTTTCACTTAGGATAATACTTTGCAGGTCCCTCCATGTCGTGTCAAAGGATGAGAGATCTTTCTTTCTTACAACTGCATAGTTCTCCATTGTGTATATGTATCACAGATTTTTTATCCATTTGTCTACTGATGGACATTTGGGCTGTTTCCAGATCTTAGCTATTGTAAATAGTGCTGCTATGAACATGGGGGTACATATATTCTTTCTGATTGGTGTTTCAGGCTTCTTAGGGTATATTCCTAGAAGTAGGATCACTGGGTCAAATGGAAGTTCAATTTTTAATTTTTTGGGGTAACACCATATTGTTTTCCATAGTGGCTGCACCAGTCTGCATTCCCACCACAGTGTAGTAGAGTCCCCTTTTCTCCACACCCTCGCCAACACTTGTTTGATGATTTGTTGATGGCAGCCATTCTGACAGGTGTGAGGTGATACCTCATTGTTGTTTTAATTTGCATCTCTCTGATGATTAGTGATGCTGAGCATTTCTTCATATGTCTCTTAGCCATTTATATGCCGTGTTTGGAGAGGTGTCTATTTAGTTCCTCTGCCCATTTTTTAATTGGGTTCTTTGTCTTCCTTTTGTGGAGTTGTATGAGCACTTGATATATATATTGGAAATTAACCCCTTATCTGATATATCATTGGCAATGCTCTCCCATACAGTGAGTTGCCTTTCCATTTTGATGATTGTATCTTTTGCTGTGCAGAAACTTTTGAGTTTGATGTAGTCCCATGTGTTCATTTTCTCCTTTGTTTCTGTCACCTCAGGTGATGTATCAGTAAAAACTCTGCTGCGCATGATGTCCGAAATTTTGTTGCCTACATTTTCTTCTAGGATTTTCATGGATTCACGGATCACATTTAAGTCTTTTATCCATTTCGAGCTTATTTTTGTGTATGGTGTAAGTTGATGGTCTAGATTCATTTTTTTTTGCATGTAGCTGTCCAATTTTCCTAACACCATTTATTAAAGAGGCTGTCTTTACTTCACTGTATGCTCTTGCCATCTTTGTCAAATATTAATTGAGCATATTGCCTTGGGTCCATTTCTGGGTTCTCTATTCTGTTCTATTGGTCTATCTGCCTGTTCTTGTGCCAGTAGCAGGTTGTTTTGATTTCAGTAGCTTTGTAGTATAACCTATTGTGATCCCACCTACTTGGTCCTTCTTTTTCAAGATTGCTGTGGCTACTCGGGGTCTTTTTTGGTTCTATATGAACTTTTGAAGTATATGTTCTAGTTCTGTGAAGTATGTCATTGGTATTTTGATGGGGATTGCATAAAATCTATAGATTGCTTTGGGTAGTATGGACATTTTAATGATGTTAATTCTTCGAATCCATGAACAGGGTATGTGCTTCCACTTTTTTATGTCTTCCTCTATTTCTCTTTCCAATGACCTGTAGTTTTCTGCGAATAGGTCCTTTATTTCTTTGGTTAAGTTTATTCCTAGGTATCTTAATTTTTTGACACGATGGTAAATGGAGTTGCTTTTTTAGTTTCTGTTTCTGTGAGTTCATCATTGGTGTATAAGAATGCCATCAAATTCTTGACGTGAATTTTGTATCCTGCTACTTTGCCATATTCATTTATTAAATCTAGTAAATGTTTGATTGAGTCTTTGGGGTTTTCTATGTATAGTATCATTTCATCTGCAAATAATGACAGTTTCAACTCCTCCTTTCCAATTTGGATCCCTTTCATTTTTTTCTTCATGTCTGATTGCTGTGGCTAAGACTTCCAGTACTATGTTAAATAAACGTGGCGAAAATGGGCATCCTTGTCTTGTTCCTGTTCTTAAGGGAAATGCTTTTAATAAACATTTATACCTTTGAACTAAAAATAATTCTGGGAATTTAACCTGATGAATTAATCTGTGATGTGAACAAGTATTTACATAATATAATATTTTCATTAGAACATTACTCATAGTGGCACAACAATTTTAACAACATAATGTCCCAACAATAGGAAAATGTTTAAATAATGGCAAGGAAGAAATTACTTGCATTCATTAAAAATAATATTTGTGAAAAAAATTAATGACATTTAATATACTGATGACTTAATTTTAAAAGAATAAAGAAAGTTATATAATATAATGTTTATACAATAATATCACAAGCATACAATAAGATACTGTTAAATAATTATTTTATGCAAAATTAATACACATTTATTATAGAAATTTTGAAAATATAGAAAAGCCTAAAAATAAATAATTTATCTTTTCAGCAGCCATGAATAATGCTATTAATAATTGAGGGACATTTTTGAATTTTCTTCTTAAATTTTCTGGGTATATTTATAAGGCTCCAAGACCCATTTTTTTCCAATCTGTAAAATGGGGGATAATAAGACTTAACTTGCAGAGCTGATGCAAGAATTAATGATTGCATTATTTAGAATTCTTTGGGTTTTAAGTGACAGAATCCTAGCACAAACTAGATTAAACAAAAGAGAAGTTGTTGACTCATGACCGGAAGAAACAACAACAACCAGGGTATAGTATAGTCTAACTTGAGGACAGGTGGATCCAAGTTGGATCACATCTTCTGCAAATGCTTCTCTCCATATCTTTGTTTTCCTTGGTGTTGATTTCATTCTCATGCGGTCAAGTTGGACCTTGGAGTTTTAGGTTTACATTTTATAAGCCTCTTTTCCAATAGTTATAATGAAAGTTCAGAGATGAGTTCTAATTGGTGTTGCAGGGCCCCATTCCTGAATCAATTTTGTAGCCTGGAGGGATATACTTTATGGAGACACAGCGGGCATCAGTTTCATCTGAATCCCATCAACTGAGAGTTGAAGAGGGAAGGCATGCCAAACCAAAATTAGATGCTGTAACCAGAATAAAAAGGAATGCATAGCGGGATTGCAAAAACAAGAGGTCCACTGCAAAGATAATATGTCTAGTTCCTAGCCCAAAATACACTAGAATTCTTCAAAGTGACACAATATTTGTAGAATTTTTAGATTTAACAGCTTCTACAATTAATTTCTGTGAAGACTATTAAACTATAAGTCCTTGAAGCAGGTTTTAAGAAGTCATTTTTATGCCTTATTGCTTATATTCGTTATAATGCAATTCTCATTCTAGTTCTTGATTCTTTTATCCAATCATATGACAATTTTCAATAGTTATATTGATAATCATAACTATTGTTATAAGGCTAAGGGAGATTGAAAACTCTTTTAGAACTTACTGGTCAGTAAAGTGATAGGGGCACATATTATGTGTTAGAAGTTCAGAGAAGTACAAACATGGTTCAGAGAATGTTTTGGGCATTTGGAATTGCTTCCTGTGTGGGGTCAAATCAGGAAAATTTCTATGGACTAGTTTATATCATTAAAAAAAAAATGAAAGAACTTGCACAAGTGGAGATGGGAGTTTTAAACACTCCCGTGTTCAAGTGAACACCTTGAGCAAAAACAATGAAGCTGGAAAATGTAGAATGTACTCTGAGTATGGAGAGTAGTTCATTTTGCTGGAGTATGATGATAACTAGTGAGGAAAGATTATAAAATTATAACTGTTCTGATCATGAAGACCACGCCATGATAATACACCTTGGACTGGATTGCTCAATCCTTGTTTGGAGAAGTAAAAGAAATGTGAGAAGTACTTGAAGCTGAGTTCTAACTCCTTCTCCTGGCTGCCACAAAACTAAAGGAAAATCAACCAGAGGGGCTTTAGTTTACTTCGTGAATGTGTGG